AGACTGTCGGCAGAAAGCAGAGAATGTCATCTTCAAGCTCTGCTACATCCTCATAGTGGGAGAGGTCTGCCTGCATTGCATATACCGTACCTGCTATGGTAACCAACTCGAGGTTGATCTCATAACGGTCTTGGTGAGTCGGCATTGTCGCGTAGGCGGTAGCTCGAGCGTGCTTGCTAAGTTTGCTTGAGCCAAATTACAGAGACACCGAAGATATAATCATTGCGAACCCTATTATGACAATTAGGCTACAAGTAGGAGGGTGGCTAAGGCCACCCACCTCCTGGAGAGGATCGAGCGACGCGGAGACGGTTGCTGAGCGGGATGACTCCTACTGCCGACTACCTTACTGCCACCAACCATAGGACCACCCATAGGGCGAGGGCGATGGGGAGGGCCTACTGTGCCAGGAAGACCACGCTGCCGACGAGGAGCTTCCCGATCCTGGCGGGGGGACAGTTCGGCGAACTTTATTACTTGGGTCAGGGGCTTCTTGACTGTAGCCCATGTGGTCTCGAAGCGCCTGCTTGTGGTCCGCGAGTTGAAATCTAAAGTTGGGGTTCCCAGTGAGCCATGCACAGAGCTGATCCCATCGTTCTTCGGTATAGAGATGTGTGCCATATTGGTTGTATGGGCGATCTGCCATCTTCGGAGTGAAGGGATTTCCATTGTGGTAGTAGTCGCTGAGGACACCCCCAGGGACTTTGGTCAGCATCAGGCGGGGAGACAGCAGGTGCCATCCTGTGCGGGCCATGGCAACACGTAGCCCGGAGGTCAGCCACTGAGCCACGACAGCACTTTCTGCTTCGATGCTCCCTTGCTCAAAATTGCCGAGCGCCGTTGCTAATCGGGTATAACCTATGCCGAACCGTCCATATCCCTTGGCAAAGGTATAGTTGGGTTCAGCCGTCGTGTCCTCGTCCTCCGTGGCCTCTTCAGTGCCAACTTCTGGTGGTTCAGCAAGCCCCACTGGCACGGGGAGAGCAAGCTCAGGCGACCGTTCAGCTGACCCAATAGCGTCAGAGGCAGAGTCTTCTTCTGCAGGCAGGTCTGCATTGGGGTGTTTGGCAGTTGTCAGGTCTCGCCACAAGGGGACTTCAATGCGCAGCCTCAGCTGCAGAAGGGAGGGAAACGAGAAAGCTTGTCCCAAAGACGGGTCAAGGGCACCACTATCTGCCCAGGACGTATCCGGCATTCGGGGGTACCGGTCATAAACAATGTCTTTAGTGTGCACTCCCACCACGAGCAAGGGGTTGTCCTCAGCATCCTCTTCTTTTGGCCGGTACCCATAACCCCCTTTCACTTCCGCAGGCGTGAAGCCCTGCCGCTCCATGGCTACAACCAGGTCAGGCAGGATTTGTACTGGCAGGTAGACAAAGAGGTCATTGGTGGGTAGTGTCTGTTCCCCATGCTCCATTCCCCTAACAAAATGATGACAGTGCGCATAAAGGTAAGGGCATCGACATCTTTTTCCTTTGTCGTCTGTGATTTTCCTTCCTCTACTTGTGCTGTTCCTGGACCCTGGTGTCTGTGTTGATTATCAAAGGAACAGCACCTCGCAATGAAAGCGAGGAGGCCATATTGCCAGAATCGGGGGTTTGCATAGAGGGCGAGCTGTTTGTGAGTGATGAAGGGACATGCTGGATGCCCACTCTTCACAAAAGCAAAAAGGTTGGATAGGGGAGCAGCAAAGGCTTCACTTATACGGAGAAGATCCCCTATATAGGCCTGGTTGATTTCATCCGGAATGTTAACAAAGGAGGAGCCTCGCAGTGCTTGTTCTGTAACCCTCCTCCAGAGGAATGTACGGACGAGGCGATTAATTTGCTTGCTGGAAATAGCAAGCCTCGCATCGGCCATTCCCTAGGAAGGTCACTATAGGTCTGTAATGCGGGGAGCGGCACCCTTTGCCTGGCAGTTTCGCTGGCCGTTCGAGCCGCATTTTGATAGTCGTATAGGGCCTGCGTGGCTCTCTGCTCGGATTCCAATTGGAGATCAGTGTCGGCCGTGCCTCCACGCTCTGCATTCTCTTGATCACTGGCAATGTCTATTTCAGTCTTCGCATGTGGGCGCTCTTGCACCGATCCAGGGCGGTCAGGTGGTGTCGTAGGATTCCTGCAAGCAGGAGCTACCGGATTTTGAGTATTCTGACTGGCCAAGTCTGCCAGTGTGGCCGGTGGTTGCTCATGTTCAGGAATGCTGCCGAGTGGTTGCCTGGATGGTGGAGCAAGTGATTTCCGTAACTTCTTGGACTGAGCTCGCCCGGCACTGGCCTTGGGCCCCGGTCTTCGTTTGATTGGGGACTCAGATGATTGTGATGTGGGGCTGCTACTTGGGGGGTCCACATCCTGTGGAGGTAGCGCGCTCCCTGCATCATCTTCTGCCTCCAACATTTCATCTCGCGCGGGACATGCATCAGGAAAGGCCGGACGATTGCTAAGGCAATCACCCTCTTCTTCTGCAGAGGAGGTGCTAGCACTAGCATCATCTGCCATGTGCGCATCATCTTCCTCCGGGTGCTCTGTGCTCGGAATAGTGGGCGACTCGGAGGAGGAACTGTGGATTGAGACTGCTTCATTTGCGTCTTCTTCAGCCATTGCCGCATCTGTCACCGCAAGGGAGGTCGGCGATTCTCCCTCTTGCACTTCTTGTTCCTCTTTGTCTGGGTCACGGTCAGAGATAGAGAGGACCTCCGGTGTCAGGTTTGGCCGAGGCCAGTAACAGCCATGCTCTAAAAGGCCTGGTTTCGGTGGAAGGACAAGGTCAGATTCAGGGGCATCAAGGACTGGTTGCACTCTCCACGCGTCATAGAAGTACACCCGGTGCAGTGCTTCAAAGGTATAATCCTGCGCACTGCGCTGTTCACGTGCGCTTGGTGTTGGTTGATAGCGTAGGGAGCTTCCCACGCTACATCGTTGCCCTGGGCCAGAGCTGTTGTGAAGAAGTCTCCAACTTCCTGGCTGCTGCCCATCCGTGATGACTAGCCACTCTGGCTCGAGCGAAGCATCAGCTGCGTAACCATAGATATGAAAATCCCCGTTTCCAGTTTGGGCACCACCATTTGGCAGTATTCCTTCTCTGGACATGATTGCTTTGCTTCTAGTTGCTTCAATTGGCTTCTGCCTGTAGGATTGCAGCGAAGTGCTTGCCTGCTCAGACTTGCATGGTGCAAGTGGTAAAAGGTGACTGTGGGTCGCTCTCAGTGTCACCTCTGCTTGGTTTGACATTGTTACCGTGCGCAATTGCTGCGGGAAGGAAAAATCAGGGGGTTTTGCTTTTGCAATACTTGCTGAGTCCAGCAGGTCGCGTTGCCCGAGGCAAAAAATAGTTGTATGCCACTTGACCACTTGTAAACAAGTTTGGAGGTGATGTTTTTTGAACGCATAGCGCGCAGGTCAATAAGCAACGTTTGTGGGGATATCTTTGCGCGCGTTTTTCAGTGCAGATGCGGTGCGAGGAGAGCGCCATGTTTCTTGGATAAGTCAAGTGAATGTTGAAGGTGTGGCCATTGGCCATGTTTGGATTCAAACGACAGTGTGAGTGAGGTGTTTTTAGCTTTGCGATGGTTTTTCCTTTTCGAGTTCTCGTTCGAGCCGCTTCGTGCCTCTTGCATGCGTTTCCTTTTTCTCAACAAGGGCCGTGTAGATCTGTTCTTGACAAGCACTGTTTTAACTTTACGCATGACGCCTTGGAGAAAGTTTCCTGCAGGACAACAAACAGCTGCGATTTCAGTAGATGTCTCATACTACCTAACTACTGGTCTTTCCGTGTAACACGTAGTTTGCCATGTATGAGCCATGCCTGATCGCTGCTCTTGGGTGTTTCTGGCTTGCCAAGAGGATTGGCAAGGTTCCAAGAAAACAAAGTTGCAACACCAGGCAGTCAATTTGCTGCTGCAGAATGAGCAGGGTCAGTTCGAAGCATTGAAGAAACAACACAGCACTTTTGCTGAAACTTTCAACTTCTCGGTCCCAGAGCAGCAGTCTCAGTTGGTCTTGCGGGGTGTGGCTTTGGTCAGACCGCAAAGCCCTTTCCAGAACGAATTGTCGCAGGGTTGGCCCGATGAATGCCTTGGGTACAAGTATGCATTGCACGGGGAAGCTTTAGACTCTTACAACATGACAGTACAAGATGCATTTGCTTTTCCACCATGGGAAGAAAAACCTTGTTTGAGCCGTGTGGCTTTCCCACGCCTGCACCATTCAAAAAAGGGGTCACGGGTTCGTTGGACTGAATGCCTTGTTTCAGGTGTGAGTCATAAAAAATCGCCAGTGTACCTCATTATGGACTGGTGCGTTGGACACGCTGTAGCTTCCAACAAGGCAGTTGCAAACTTGAACGTTTTCCAGCCTGCCAGTGAGCATAAAGGGTTCATGCCACTAGGACAAGCCATCGGGTTGGACAGTGAGGCAGCCCTGGACCTCAAGAAATGTTATGTTTTGTGTTTGCCAGCGCGACTGTTGTTTTCTTTGTTGTGCGGAGCGTGTCGCCAATTCCCTGTGTTGGCACGGTGGACGCATCCATCTTGCCCACCATTGACAGCGGGTTTGCCTGAACAATGGTTGAAATCAATTGTTCTGTCCTGCCAGGAGAGGGTTGAGCCTGCAATCAAGGAAGAAGTCATGACATGTGGTGACGCACAAAAGCTGTATTCGTGCCTCAGAAACCTAGGCCAGCAAATTGTAGGTGCCACTTTGGATGAAGATGTTGCACGTGGTTGGACATTCGAAGTGAACCATCTTTTGCGATGTTTGAGGAATCACATGTATTCTTTGCAGGTCTTGAGATACCCCAGCGCCCCAAAGATTCAAGGAGTAAAGTTCCCTTCAGACTCTTTGGTTCAACAAGTTCTTGCCAGCTTGGACTTACGAAACAGGAGGTTACTTCAAGATCATGCAAAGAAATTTGTTGGCATGTTGCCACATGCACTGCAGCCTTTCCTTCACAGTTGGGTGTCTGCTAAAGTTGCAAGTGGCTCGACCCTTGTACGGAGTGAGCTGATGCTGGACATAGCGTTGCAACTTCTTCACAGGAGGCGGCTGTCAGAGAGTGGTGAGATCCTCAAATTTGCATGGGGGGACGCAGCTGACAAATGGAACCTGCAGATCTACAATGCTAGGTACCGGTGGATGCGGAAATCAGATTGTGTACAGCTTGGCCGGGCTTGGCGTTTCCTATGCAAGCACCCTCATACAAGAACCATGGAGTGTGATGTTGAGGAGAAGCGTAAAGAGTATTCCTCCCTCTTGTTCAAGTCCATCCACCTGCACACACTGGTTCCCCAGCTGCTGGGCAACAGAAAGACTGCCTTGGTTGACAAAGTTTCTGCGCATGTGCACGCAAGCTTGCTAGAAAGCAGCAGCCTCGATGCCCTTGATGAAAGCTTTGCAAATCACATTTGTTGGTGTTCTGACATGGGCGTTGAGTCTGCGTTGCCAAGCTTTCATGTGTTGAGCGCGGAGAAGGTGATGCCAGCCTGGTTGCAGCCGTCCCGTGTGAATGTCCACGAACCAGACGATGATCATTTTGAAGATGGAGTATTGGTTAACCTAGAATCTGCCAATTGCAAAAGTTCACCCCTCATGCCGCAGGCAATCTCTGTGCCAGGGATATGTCATGCCATACACAATGCAACTGGAAGATTGAATTCTGCCTTCCATGGGTTTGAAGATTTTTTGGGCAAACTCAAGTCCTTATACCAGTTTCTTGGCAGCCCTCCTCGTTGCAATAGGTTTGTGGAGGTTGTCATGCGGGGTACTTTGCATTATGAGCGTGCCAAAGAGCTGTTTTTGCGCAGGTTGACTTCTATCTACACTGAACGTTGGAACATTGTGGCCATTTGTTTGGAAGAGTCGCTTCCCCTTCTGTTGTTTTTGAGGACTCACTGGGATGATGTTCGCTTCTTACGCAACGCTGACGATGATGGGCCCAGTGACGCTTGCATGAAAGATGGGTGGTCCCCCAAAGAGCTCACAGTCATCGTCCAAGACAGCTACTTCCTGGCTTTTTGGCGCATGCAGCTGGCCATTCGCAAGCAATTGCTCCACTTCACATCGTGGGCAGAGGGGTGCAGTTGTCATGGGGGTAGTTTGGTTGAAAGCTTCATGAATGAACATGAAAGTGAAGTCAGCTTCGAACATGTCTTGAAAGCTGAGATCGTTTGCCCAGCAGGAATTCCTTGTCGATGTCCCATGGCAGGATGTCAGGCTCCATTTCTTGCTGCTGATAACTTCTCAGATTTTGAGCGGAAACTTGATTCAACTTGCCAAGAGTTCATGAGTAATTGTCAGGAGCGGCTGACTTCAGAGCAATGGTCAAGTTTGCTTGCAGAATGGCAACATGGTTCGAAAGTTGTTCTTGAAGAAGTGAAAGCTAGGCTGAGTTTCTTTTCGCACTTGCCGTGGATCGTGTTTGGGGGGTGTCACCCAATGCCAGATGTGGCTCGCAAGGCCTTGGCCAAAGCTAAGCAGTTGTGGGATGATTTGCCATCCAATGCGCGCGAAGCTCAGCATCCAATTGCTAGGAATCTTTTTGATGGCGAACAAGAAACTTTGACACAAGAGCTTGCCAGTTTCATTTCATCATCCGACCAAGTGCTGGAAGACTTTCCTGCCTTAGAGGCATTCTTGGCCCCCTTTACTTTTGTACAGGTGGCTGAGCGTTTGATCGAGGCAGCCCATAAGGACCTAGGACAGACAAGGCCAAAGAACTTTAGCGTGACTTGGTTGTCGCTCAACATGAGAATGCCTGAGCTGAACAAGCATCTTGCTATGGATCCCCATGCCTTTCCAATGCTTGTTGAAGCGTTTTCGGAAGCCCGCCAGCTTGCAAAGTTTGCCGAGATGTTTCCCTGCCATAGGAATCACCCAGATTTGATCAAGATAGGCCGCAGCAAAGACAAGCATGCATTTTTCGCCTTTGCCAGGCAGGCGCTCTACCGGGATTCCAGAATGCAGTTTGCTACAAATCAAGAAGCTGAAAGTATCCACAACCAAGAATCCAAGAAAGTAGGGCTTGCGCAAGACAAGTTGAAACCAAAAAGAAAAGAGGTGACACAAGAACTGATTGTTGCCAATTTGGCCACTGATTGTCTTCGTGACATTGCTTGGCGTGACCCAGGCAGTGTGTTTTCAATTGAGGCACCAAGCGACCAGCGCTTGAAGTTGTTTACCCCAGTGTTGTTGCAACCTTCGCTTATCAAGCGTCCGGCCCATGCACCATGCACTATGAAAGATTTCGACAGGAATGATCTTGTCACAACCGTGTGTGAGAACAGGGGCACTCCCGCAAGACCAGTTGTTTCTGCAATTTGTCTTGGGAAAGCAGAGACTTTGTCAATGCTGTCAGTTGTCCAGTCACTTGGCATAGACAAGTTCTTCCAATGTCTTAAGCAGTGGTCTAAGTGTGGGAGCGTCCAATATGTGTTGCCGTTGATGGGTGGTGATGTTTCCAAATTGCTCAGTCACATGATCCAGCACGGTGCCTTGCCCAAGGCCAGCCAAAGCTTCGTGCCTTCTCCTGCGCACATCCCTTCCATGCAGACTTTGGTTTCTTACCGCTTTGCTCAGGAGATGTCAGATGGTGGTTACTTGCTCACGGCTTCAGCCATCCAGCGCATGGAATTTCTTCGCAGCTTAGAATCACCACTGTGTCTTTGTAAAGTGGGTATTGGTGCCTTAGCTGACTTGTCCGATTTGCAACTTTTCGTTCAGATGCGGTCCAAGGGTTGGGAATGGTCCCTCATGCCAGTAAAGCAGCAGAAAGAGCGGGTCTACAAGATTGGTGAGGAACAAACCTGGTATACTTCAGGGGTGACTGTTTCCAGGTTCTATATGATGTGTCTGTTAGATGCTGACAGGCTTGCCAATGCCCATGGGATCCAAGAGATCCCTCATGGAATGCCTGGTGAAGCTTATGAAATGGTTTTTGCTGGCACTGTTCCGAAAGATGCTCTTCGCAAGACTTCGCAAGCAAAAAGAAAACTAGGAATAGGAAGTAATGTTGATAGTGGTTTGTTTGATGCAGATGTGGTGCTTGAAGCCGAAGATGTTCCAAGGTTTTCCAGTAGGAGGTTAATGGACAGCACTCAAGTTGACAGGAGTCAAACAACCACTCCACTTGCTCCTGACGAAGCAGGTGTCCATGAGGAGAAGGCCTTCGAAGTTGCTGTGAACAGGGAGAGTGGTGAGGCAACAAAGCCAGTTCCTTCTTCAAGTTCCTTTCCCGAATCAGCTGCCAAGGCTGTGTCTAGGAAGACTGCTGCACTAGAGTCAGCTTTGTTTGTAGGAGGTGTTGCGAAGTATGGGTCCTTTTCATTTTCAGTGAAGCAGGCGCGATCTGCCCCACCCTGTGGAGGCATTGAGGTTACGTGTAGGTGGCACAAGAAGAGTTTGGTAACTGGTTGCAAGCGCTTTGTGAGGTTTACAGATAGCACTCCTGAGGCCCGAAATCAATGCATTCTTCTTTTGAAGCATTGGTGCAACCAAGCGTGCAAGTTCGACCGCCAGAGAAGCCACATTCGCATGCCATTGTCCCCAGGTGATTGTCCACCAGAGTCCATTGTCTTAGCTCAGGAGTTGACAGAAAACCCTCCAGCCCTAATTAAGACTGATGAGGAACTAGATGCAGAGGTAGCTAGCAGTGCTAAGCCGTTGAAAAAGCTTTCGAAGGGTCTTGACAAGAAAGATTCGAAGAAAGGTAGCAAGCAGCCTAAAGCCAAATCGAGCAAAGCAAAGCCAAAGCCTAAGGGAAAAGCCAAAGCTAGTTGTTCCAAGCCAAACACAGCAAAGGCAAAACCCGCGCCTGAACCTGAGGGTTCGGGCCAGTCCGACAGTTCGTCAACATCTTCATCACCTTCTTCCTCAGGGTCTGGCAAGGCTTCGAATTCCGCAACCTCTTCGGGCTCTGATTGATGGCAGGCAAGACATTTGTTTGCAGTGAGGGACAAGAAAGGGCCCCTATATTTGTTGCAGAAACATGTGCACTTATTGGTGATGATGTCGTGGCTCTTATGGTAGGGAACCTGCAATCACATTTTACTCAAACATGCACAGAGACTGAAGTGAGCATGACCGGGTTCACATTGCTAAACATATATGCATCCTGAGTCCACATTTTTTTTTAAAAAACAGGGACTCAGGAAACGAATCCTGATGTACTTGGGAGGCTTTTTGAATGTCAGTTGTATCGAAAGTTTATTGCGCGTTTTCCCTTCCAGGCTCTGGTTTGGCAATCGATCTGGCCTTGTGGCTGCTCAATGTATGGGAGGCCTGAAACCTTTTGATCAAGCAGACTCCAACCAAAAGAACATCATCCTTTCTTTGTCATTGGCCTCAAGTTTTGGGGGAAGGGTTCCAGACACATTCGCGAAGCTTGCCAAACTCACAAAGAGCATGCGCGGCCGGGGGTCTATGAAGTCTAGCGTGCGCCTGGCAGGTCTGGCTTTGGAGATTTGTGGCTACGTGCCCCAGGCGTGTCAGACTTTTACAAGAGTTGTTGCTGCAAAGGCTTTCCCCAATGGAGTTTCAACAGAGAACCCCATATTTGTAAGGGCGCGTTCCAAGCAGGGCAGCCTGACAGTTGAAATGAAACACATATGTTCAATGCCATCTCCTTCCGATGGCTGGCGCAGGTTCACATTAGACCAATCACTTCAACGGTCTACCGTTCTGGGAGGAGGCCAGGTTCTCAACGCAAAGCTTGCAGAATTGTGAGAGTTTCAGTGCAAAAAATAACAATCAAATTCTTTACGGTGTCGCATCCATTTTTGGTGGATAGACCGTAATTTTGTGCATTTTCTGAATTTTTATGAACGCCCGCGACACAGAGCGACACTTGAGCGACACATGCGCGACACCTCAGGCACCTGCGAGCGACACCGAGCGACACATGAGCGACACGTGCGCGACACGTTTGTTGGTCTAAAACATAAGTTTTGGGCACTCCCATGACTACTTTGTTTAAAACTATCGTTTTGTATATATTGTTTATATAGATATTTTTTAACAGGCCGAGTTGCACAGATTCGCTTCTTTTTCTCACTTTTCGATTTTGCTCAGCAACTTTTGAAGCTTTGTGCGCTTGACAGCTGTGTGTTTCGATGAGCTTTCCGTGGTGTGAGTTGGTTCCATGTTTTTGTCGAGAAACTGAGATCGTTCTTGAACTTTTGACATGTGCTTCCGATTGTACTTCTGCACTGCCACTTCTCAACTTCTTGCGCGATCATCTATCTATGGCCTCTCTTGCTGGAACCTTCCGTCGTCCCACCTTGAGTTTGTGAAGAGTTTGTCGGCCACGAAGCCATTGGTTTGGAGAAGGGCCTTTTGAAGTGAAGGTTTTTTCTAGGTAGCCAGGTGCTCTTGCAGGCATGGCAGAAGCAAGCGTGCCCGCTGATGGTGGTTCCCTAGAAGAACCTCAAGCTAAGCGCGCTCGATTCGAGCGGATGGGTACGGAGGCTTTCGATGATGAGCCATGTCACATGCAGGAGCTGTTGGCTTGGCCAAGCCAGGTAGCCGATACTATGGTTGACGCCTGTCATGAGCTTGAAGCCGAGTCAAACCTGAGAGATTGGTTTGACATGCAAGCCATCCCGGTGGGCCCCAAGCTCTTTGTGACAACCCACTACACAGGCTTGGGAACAGTGGAGCATTGCATCGAGAGGTTGGCGAAGACTTTTCATTGCCCTTCACCTTGCTTCCACTCAGCGCACGAGATTGACTCAGCAGCCCGAGAATTGCTCCTTCATTCCAAGCATTGCCCCAACCACATCTTTGGTGACCTTTGCGCGCAGTTTGATGCAAGTGTGGTTGAGCGAATGGAGTGGGTATGTTGGGTCATGGCAAAGAGGGCAGGAGAGCTTAAAGACCAGGGTGTTTCCGGCAAGGCCTTGAAGGTAGCGCTTGAGCAAGCCAACCGACGCTGCATGGAGAAGTTGATTCATGTGGCAGCAGAGGCTTGTAAGAGCAACAAGGTCCACGCGCACGGATACTGTTACAAACACTGTACCATGTGCCCATTCTTTCCCGAAATTCAAGAAGGCGACAAAGTGCTTGAAGCAGGTGGCAACACCTGTGTGGCCTTTAGCCCGCAGGGGTGCCATGGGCGATGGCTCCACCGTTCAGGAGTTGTCGCTGCAATGTGGCTTGCCCGCACAAGGCACCGGGCTGTGGACTTTGTGTTGCAGGAATGCTCCTCCTTCTTCAACACAGAGGAGGCCTTCAGATGCGCATTCCCACCACCGGAGTTCAGGACGCATGTGGTCAAGCTCAAATGTGAAGATGTGGGAGTGCCAATGATTCGGTGGCGCAACTACTCGTGGACCATCAACACCGAGACTGTGGAGTTGGAGAAGCCAATCAACAGAGAGAACTTCTTGCAATGCTGCTCCTCCTCACCATGTCTTGATGGCCATTCTTTCTTCATCGCGCCTCAGTGGATGATCCAAGACCACTTGCGTGCAAAGCTGCTGAAAGTGAAAGGTGTTCTATGTGATCCTGGTGCCGTTCTCCCCATGGACATTGCCCTTGATGTAGGGTCCAAGCTCCGCCTCGAGGACTACCAGAGGTTGCTGGGCAGCCCGGACATACTGACAAGGAAGATGGTTGGCGTGGTTGACCTGTCCCAAAATGTGTGTGTGAGGCAGCGGCTGAGTACCAACCTTCCTTCCTTCTTATGTCAGTCATGCATTTGGTCCCAATGGCACGGCAGGATGATGCTTCCTCTTGAGATGATGGTGGCAATGGGTTGGCCAATTTCAGGGCTGGCGGAGAATCCCATCGATTCGCCTTGGACCCTCGAGTACTTGTCAAAGTTCCGCAGCTCAGAGATTGTGAAGATGACAGGAAACCAAATGCACTGTCGAGTTGTCGGCAGCTTTTTGGCTTATTGTTTGGCCATGACAAAGCCACGGTGACTGTCATAGCCATAGCTAACTTGCGCCAGCTAGTGCGGACGTTGGAAGAAGTGTGTTTTGCCAACAGGTTGTGTGTTTTCTGAATGGTTAGGTACCATTTTTGTTTTACCACCGTGTGATTTTGACTGGCTGGCTGTGTGGCGCAGATTCTCAGTGATGCCGATGGGGTGAGGCAAGAAAAGAAAGAGCGTTCAAGCAAAGCTTTGAAGCCAGGCCCCAAACCTGCTTCCTCAGTATCCCGTGTTTGGTAACAAATAGTTGGTCGTTTACTTCTTCCACCTGAGCAGTTTACATGTCCGCATTGCTCCAGATGCCTGTGACAATCCTTGCTTCGCGCCCAAGCCTTTCAATAGAAGAGTCAAACCATGTGGAGATGTCGTGTGTTTGCAGGCAGAAGCTCTTGGAGAAGACAGTGCGCTGTCCTCAGATGTTTCCACAGTTCAGTTTGGAATGGACTTACGATTCTCCTTGAGGCTGATTGTTTCCAAGCTTGTTTCTTTTTTTGTTTCGCCGAAGTCAAGAAGACATGTGCGCTTCCTACAACAGCGCAGTGCTCAAACCAGAAGTTGCCGACTCCTGAGCCTTGTTTTGGCCAGTGGCCGGAATGGATGTTGATCTCAGCTCCCAGGTTCCTGATTCAATCGATGAGGAGATAAGGGCCGCATGTGCCGAGCCCGATTCGAAACCAACGGGTACCAAAAGAGGCAGACCCAAAAAGCGCTGTGCTGATGAGGCGGAGGGTACTGACAAGCAGGCGCTTCAAGCCAAGCCTCAACCAAAAAAGCGGGCCAAGCACGGTGTTCAGTCTTGCAAAGGTTGCAAGAAAAAGATCAGTGCTGAGCAGCAAGCGACCAATTTCCCAGGCTGCGTCCCTTGCAAAAGGGCACTAGACAACATCACGAAGCTAGCTTCAAGACAGGGTGAGCAAGCAGTGAAGTTTGTCAGGGAGCAGCGTGAAGACCCTGACAAATGCTTTGCAATGGTGCAGTCCTACTTTGAGGTTTGCCCCGAGTGTGAGCCAGGCGCGGCCAAAAACAAGAAGAGAGGTTCTTGGAGCATTGTCAAGTACCAAGAGCGCATTGTGGCTGCAAGCGGCTTTGTCAAGGACAAGGTTGGGGAGATGATGGGGACGAAATTGTACCTCGAATTTGCTCAAACCATCAGAGGGGGAAGGAAGACAGATGACCAAGCTGCTGCTCAATGGGCTGAGTGGGAGTCAAGGCTCGAAGCTGGTGACAAGGACCTTTTCTTTGATCATATGGGAGAGAATGGTTCTTTGAGGTTTTGGATTCATACCGGGGACGAGGTCAGGTTCAGAACTAGCTATTTGCAGGAGAAAGCTGTCACCATGGACGGGGAATCCAAGAAGAATGGCAGCCAAGAAGATGTTGACCGCCTTAAGAAAAAGGTGACTTCCAAGCATGATCCCATCGCTGACCAGATCCAGATTTGCCAGGCCATCGTGCGCAATGGAGAGGCTGCCTTCCAAGGCCAAGATGGGTTCCTTGTGGACGTGATGGAGCTTGCTCAGATTGCAGAAAAGGTCAAGGACCAGAATCCAGATGAAGAGAATGGTGTGGATGGGAATGGGAAGTCTGAAAGTGAGATCTCGCCTGAGAAAGTGAAGCCCTGGGTGGATCGGGACAGGGTGGTTTCATCTACCATGAGGTCATGCGATGCGCAAATCAAAGTGTTCAAGCTGAAGTGTCAACAGGGTCTTTCTGAGTGCAAGGAGAAGTTAGAGGGGTACCAGCAGTCCAAGGACGCTGACTTCCAGAAAACCTTTGCTGGTGAGATCAAGCTCCTGGAGAACCGAGTTGAAGCGCTTTCGTTGGTGATTGAGCCTGAGTTGTTTTATGATGCAATCACTTTTGTCCTTTTGTTTCCCCCTTGGTAGCAGGCCTAGCAACCAACGCAAGACAAGGTTCAAGGTTGGCGTGAAATGAAAAAGTTTTCGAGTAACCCATTGCAATGTCTTTTGCTTTTCAATTCAACCT